GGACCAGCAGCTTTATTAATTATTTTGGTTTTCAATTAAACTATAAAGCTTCCCTTGACATCAGTGGCATTGTGTCCATCCTGCCCTCAGAAGGCATTTACTCAACTTATTTACCATAACTAGAATTGTTTTTACTTTATTGCTTAAATTTATCCAAGAACTGTAAGCAACAGGAGTTTTCACACAGGAAATCTGGTGGGAGAAGTTAAGAGAGAATGTGGTTGGAGGAAAATTTCCAAGATGTCACAATGAATTCTAGAGGGTAAGAAAACTAGAGCATGTGAATTAGATATAACCACTGGAAGAAAGCAGACACCAGGGCCCAGGAAAACAACTTGGATGAGATGAAGTCCAAATAGACATATGGAAAACATCCAAAGATCATGGTGGATAGGGTTAGGGTAGGCTGAGAACTGGATGGAAAGGTGTAGGGAATGAGTTACAGGACACCTCTTCTTTTTGAGAACCACCTTCTGTACCCAGAAAGCTAGTTCTTATATATAATGACACAATTTCTTAACTTTGGTTAATTGGACCAAGAGAGAGACCTCCCTGAAACTGAACTTCTGGGGAATTTTGAATTGTTTCCTTCATTTGAGATAATAAGTTCAAAATAAGATTTCTAGAGACTTTGAGGGCAAACATATATGCTAGAAAGCAGGAAAACTAGTTGCAGAAAGTTAAGAACAAGTTGGGTATTCATAGAGGAGCTGAGATGGGAGACAGTGTGACCCCAGGGGAAGAAAGAGGAGGAGTCTAAAAGCTATTGCCTGAACTCATGAGAACTTCTCATCTATGGTCCTAATCTCCAACCCTTTCCTATAGACTCTGTGATAACCCACCAATTCTAGAATAATCCTGTCTTGCTTAATAAAGTTTGAGTGAAGTTCTAATAGTAGTAGCCAAATGACATTGACTGAGACACTATTTTGGCAGATATGTTTAATACAGAAACAAATGCAGGAACATGGAATATGCTGAGATGCAGACAGCCAAAGTCAGCATCAGGAAAAAGTGGGAAGAGTACCCCAAGTAGAGTGGTCCAAGCAAGGTACTTCTCAGTCTGAAAGTGAATTCTCAGTGTAGAAGGAATCTAGGAAGGAAGAGTTAACAAGTCAGGAAGAGTACACACCAGATCTGCTTATAAAAAGTAGAGTATCAGGTGGAGCCTTTGTCACAGGAACAAGGTAGAAGTTGGTTTTCAGAAGGTCAATAGCAGACTAGGACATTTTGATCTTTTGAAGATGTAAACTCCATGAGGATGGGATACATTTACACATTCCATAAGCATTGCTTATATTCTATTATAGTCTAAGGAGTTGAGTGTGTCAGCTTCCTGAGCTGAGGTTCAGCATGGTGTAAAGTGAGGTCAACCTGGGAATGGAGACCTAGCAGTCACTTCTGTGGAGAACAGGAAGAAGGAATCCTTCACTGGGGACCTGGTTAATCTTGAAGCAGAGTGGATGGCAGATTGTTGGAATTTCGAACATCCTACAGCAAAACAAACCTAGAAATTGAAACTGAAAGCCTAGAAAGCATCCTGGTGATAATATATTTTGATGTGTAGAAAAGAGGAGGTAGTACATGAAAGAGTTACTCAGAAAGGGAAATAAAAAAGTGTCAAACACAGATTATCTGTGTATTGGTTTCTCTCAGGCCCTAGTGACACCTCATGTACGCATGTGAAATAGCTCTTGTGCCTCATTTACCTGGATTAACTGTTTCATACCACACCTACTCTCCTTCACCAAAGGCAAAGTTAAAATTCATGAGAAATTTGAAGTCCTAGTCTTTTCCAAATTCAACCCAGAATTACCAGATAGGCAAGTCTAGACTTGTAAAATAAGCTTCAACTCAACATTTTCTGGTTTTCCATTTAATCTTGACCTTCATAGAAATACAGTAGAGGTATAGTTCGAAAAGAGAAAGAGGAGCTACAAAAAAGGGTTAAAATGAATAGATACGCTGTAACTTGTTCAATTTAGGGTGGAAATAGATTGAAAATCTGATCTCAGACCCATGTCTCTCACCACGCACTAAACTGAAATCAAAATACATCAAAGATCTAAATATTAAAACAGAAACACTAAATATGCTGGAAGAGAGAATATGTAGAACTCTTGAAGATATAGGTGTAGGCAAAGACTTTATGAACAAAACCTCGATTACGTGGGAAACATTACAAAGAATCAACAACTGGGATCTAATTTTATTAAAAAGTATATGCAAGGGCCAGGGATTTAGCTCAGTGCCTATCTGGTAAGCGCAAGGTCCTAAGTTAGATCCCAGGTACCAAAAAAAAAAAAAAAAAGCACGGCAAAACAAACCATCAAGAGAGTGAACAGATAACTATGGAAAGAAGAAAAAAAATTTGCCAGCTGTTCCTCAAAGAACTAAAATCTAGACTATATGAAAAACTCAAAAAGAATAAAGAAAACCATAATCTACAAATTTAAAGACCCAATACAAAAGTGGGCAGGTGAAATGAATAGACACTGCTCAGATGAAGAAGTAGAAACAGCAAATAAACATATGAAAAAAAATGTTCACCATCACTGGTCATTTGAGAGATGCAAATTAAAACAGCGCTGAGATTCTATCATACTCCAGAAAGAAGGGCTATCAAGAAATCAACCAATAACAAATGCTGACAGGGTTGTAGGGAAAAAGGAACCCTCTTCCACTGTTGGTGGGAGTGTAGACTGGTGCAACCACTGTAGAAATAAGATGAAGATTCCTCAAAAAGCTCGGATTAGAGGTTTCATTTGATGCAGCTATTCCGTTTCTTGGTATCTTCTCAAAAGAATTAAAAACATCATGCTATAGTGATATATGCACACTCATGTTTACAGCAGCACAGTTTATAATAGCTAAATCTTGGAAATGGCCAAAACACCCAGTCAACCAATGGATAAAGAATATGTGGGGTTTTTAATATAATGGGGTACTACTCTGCCATAAAGAAAGATAAACTTGAGACATTTCTAGGTAAATGGATGCACCTGGAGACCATACTTTTACATGAAGTAAATTGGACACACTTGTATAAGTATCACATTGTTTCTCTGGTGTGAGAAGCCAAAAGTGTACATGAGGAGGAAAATGTATACTAGATATTATGAAATGGGAAGAAAATGCTCAAATGGGAAGGAGAACTAGAGAGAAGGGAGGAGGAAAGGAAGGAAAGGAAAATTTAAAAAACAGAAAATAAGGAAAAAATAGAAACAAAACTTTTGTAAATAAGGAAGGGAAGAGGGGTTGAAGGGAGGGTAGGGGAATGAGAAAAAAGAGCAATTAAGATATATCATGTACAGGTACAAATTCCCTATGATGAAGGTGATGAATGTGTATATCTAAAATATCCCAATAAAATTAGTTAATAAAAATACCCCAGTCTTCTGTGACCCCCTTCTCTACTTCTACTTACTACTTTGCATATCTTCTAATCATACTTTTCATAGAGATACCAAAACATTTCCCTGGTGATTTAGTCTTTTTTCTGTCCTCTGTTCTCTTTCTATAGCAAAATACTGGAGAGAGGGTAATTTATAAAGAATAGGAACTTATTTAGCTAACAATTCTGGAAACTAGGGAGTTCAAAAGCTTGGTGCCAGCACTGTATCTGCTTGGCATCTGGTGAGGACCTTACTGCTGCATCATAAGCTGGGGGAGGGCATCACACAGGGAACAGCTCAAGTGTGCTATATCGTGTCTCTCCTAATAAAGCCACGCGGTTTCTCTCTTGCAAAGACATTGAAGCCATAATGGCGCCTCAAGCTCATGATCTCACTGAATCCTAATTACCTTCCAAAGGACCTATCTCCAAACGTCTTTCACACGTCATATTGGGGTTTCCCACACATGGATTCAGGGGAACACACTCAAACCTCAGCACCTGGAGAATATCAGGGACTCAACACAGCATGCTAGTTAACCTTGGCGAGATACTGTAAAAGACATACAGTCCTAAGGACAAAACTAACCATGACAAATTAGCAGACATACTATTTCTTGACTCCAGTTTCTTTTTCTTTTATTAATCCTTAGCTGTTGTCCATGGTATTAAATAGAGCCAAAAGAAAGATCAGTCAGAAATTGCTGCTTGGCTCTGACTGGCCTAAAGGGGAACTGATATTTACCTTTCCTAAATTTTGATCTCCTCATCCATAAAATGAAAAAATAATATTTGCTTTAATAACTTGCTGGTGATTTTGAGAAGCATGTGTGAAAACAACTGCAAATGGTACAAACACAAGTAGAAGACAGCCAGGTCTTTCTAGTCACAAGAAGAGCAATTAATCTATACAAGAAACTAGTTCTCCTTACTAGCTCTTGGGCAGTTCACTTGTGTTCCAAGTCTTTATCTCTTCATTTGCAAAAAGAGTATGATAATATTTCCTGCTTCATATGGTCTCTATGTAGATGAATACAGCACATATATACTAAGGTATAAAGAATATGTTAATGATTACAATGGAACTCTTAATAATAGCTCAGAATAGGATAATCTCAAGATCCAATGTGTTTTTGCTGGCAGAATTATTAATATGATTTTAAATTAGTATGTGTATCCTAGATTTTTTTCAAAAATATTTTCAGAGAATATTTCAAATTCTATAGAAGATTCAAATTGAAGTTAAATTTAAATAAGGCATAGTCACTTAAAAGAAAATGAAACTCAATCACATGCCAAAAATAACTGATTACTTCCCTCGCGTTCCTTTGTATATTCCATTTTAATGTAGTCTGTTAGAAAACAACAGTATTATAGTCTATTTTTGTTCATAATTTATCATTTTAATACTTCCTTGAATTGAGAGAAATGTGGTTTATATACATATGTGTTTATATATGAAAAAGTATAAAAAGAATGTCTAGTCAGCCAGTATAGCTCAGTTTTACATCAAGATTATTATTCAAAGAGGTTTTTTTAATTTAAAAAATAAAAAAACTCATATTGATTATATTCTAATATTCTTTAATCTTTCTTTCTTTGCAAGATAATAGTGGGAGAAACAGCTGTGTTTTGCCTGCAACTTGCCACACGAGATTTTGAAAATCAGGAAAAAACTATTTTAACTGGAGACTGTTGCTATATAAACCCACTGGTGCGCAGAACTGTCCGATTCCTCGGTATGTGTTCCTTGAATTGTTTTTATTCATGCTGAAACAATATTATGAATTTATGCAAATATTGGTTATAATTTCTGTGAAATATTTGTTTCATTTTACAAATGAACATCACACACGACTTTCTCACTTTGCAATATCCCACTTCAGGAGTCATTTCCACATTAAAGAAAAAATGACTGACCTCAAATACTTGAATATTTAATATTCTTTAAGAATCTAAAAATTGTATAATTAAAATAAATGACTTGTTATGTTTATAAAATTTCAGAAACAATGCTTGAAGAGAAATGTTAACCTAGGTTATATGTTCACTATCATAAAAACAAGAACAATGCTTGGAAAATACTATATTTGATAAGTAGTACTCTGCTCCATTGAGCTATTTTTATATAAACAAAAGTATATTGGTGTTTTATAGAAGTTAGATTTACTGGTACTTTAATTTTCAATTCAAATATTACCACTAATAAACATGAACACTGACAAATTACTGAACATTATTTCAGTTCAATAGAAATTTGGTCAAAATAAGTTTTTAAACTGAAACAACAAAATTTAATATAAATTATTGTTTCCTAGATTCAGCAGATAAAAGTGAGTATGTCTTTAAATAAAATATAAAAAAGGCTGTGGATGTAGCTCAGTGATAGAATAGTCCCTGCGTCAGAATGCCAGTACTGTATAAACAAGATATATAGATATAGATATATGCATCTAAGATAAAATCTGATACATTAGCAATATTGTAATCATTCACTATATTTCTCCTATTGAGGGGATCAAAACAAAAACTTTGGAGATATTATGCATGGGTGACCAAATACATAGATAAACTCAATAAAGTTTAGCCAGATACATTCAGGCCTATATATCTCTCAGAAGACAAAAGGCCTCCCTATCCATTAAATGTTCTTTTTATTGCCAACAAGTTATGTATCTTCAAAACTCTCATTTAACTTGTTGTAGGAATAACTTCTATATGAAATCTTATAAAGTTATTTTTTATATGCATCAGTATTTTTACTTGATTCATTTTTCTTTGTACTACAGTCATTTAGAATAACAAAATAAGCAGTAACCAATAATGTATACAAAACTAAAAGCATTTGATGAATTGATGCTTTCCTAAATACTGTTAAGCACATTATTTTCTATCTATTTAAAAGTAAAATATTTTCCTGCATTTGCACACATATTTCTAAATAATGTGTGAGGCCAAGTAAGCTGAGTCTTTAAGTCTTTGCTTGTTTATTACTTATATAATTTTATAAAACATTTAGGAGAGCTTGGTTTGTTTCTTTTTTCTTTTTCATGATTTGAGTGTTTTTAGTTTGTTCCATTATAACTGAAGCTTATAACTGAAACATTACTATATAAGAAGATGTCACTCTGTATAGTGACTTTTTGAGGTCAGCAGGTCAGATACACTCATGGGATCCCACTTTTATAATTATCTGTGTAGTCAACTACAACAATGGCCTTAGATCTGATGCACTGACATTTTAGTTCTAAAACACATCTGGGAACTTTAGCAGTATCAAGAGATATTTCTATATTCTTATCACCTACTTCTATTTTGCTAGATAAGAAGAATAGTTTAGTTAAATAAAGTGAGAACATCTTAGCCTAGATTTCAAAGGAGTACAGATGAAGAAAGCTCATAATTTAGATTCATGTGCTTGGACCTGGGATTTTGAAAGGTGAGACTGTATACATTAACATCTTACTGAGCTCAGTTTTCTTTCATTTCTCTGCTTTTGCAAATCTTCTGCTTTCAGTAACCTTTATTTGATATGACTCATGTAATGCTAGTGAGAGTAAAGAAAGGTATTATTGTTTCCAATTAGAATTGTGAGATAAAAGGAGAACTAATGCCTTTGTTTCATTGACATTTGGATACTACATGCAAGTTTTTGTGCATAAAACTTTTGTGCATAAATCTTGTATAATATTTGGAAATTGAATGAAGAACCAGGCCTCTAATATTGGAAAATTACTTGATCTTGTGCAACTTTCAAGGTGATTTTCCATATAATAGACAATAGTGATGAAAAGGTAGAAAATAAACAAAAAATATGTGACTAAGAAGAAAACGTAATTTTATGATACAGTTATATTACTGTTAAATGAACCAATGAACCAAGGAAATATTATTTTGGTATAGTGTTAAAAGGTCCTGATGGATTTTATTTTCCTAAATTATGAAAGAATGGATTTCTTTACATCAGGATCACACCCTTGAACACTGTATTTGTAAGTTTATTGAAATTAATAGCAAATAATTTATTTTTCCTTGAGTTTTGACAACAATGACCAATGATTCAGAACTTAGAAAATATTTTTGGTATTCAAGTAAATGGACAACATTCTTACAAAAGGAGAAAAAAATCTATGTACTTATTTTATACCTTCAGGTAACTCAAATAAATAAATTTTAATACCATAAAGATAATTAAAATGATAATATTAATTGCCTTATTATTTGCTAAATTGCCCCCACATTTAATAAATAGCCAATCTATAAAAGAGAGGGAGGAACTAAATTACCAGATTTCCTGTGCTTTTTAAAAATGTTTCTGAAGGAAATGTAAAGATTAATCTGAAAGCATTCTGCTTTACTTAAGATTTTCCACTCTACTTAAATGAGAACTGATGGCATTGGATTTTACTGCTAATTGGCACCTCCAGCAGAGCTAATGCCAGTCTGAATGGGCTTAAGAGACTTAATCAGAGAGAGACAACTGTTTTGCTTTGTGTTGGTGAGACAAAAATTATTTTCAAAAATAAGGAAAAAATAAAAATTGCTAACATTAGTAAAACATGATGGACAATAACCTTTCAAGGGATACATGTCTCCATTTAAACATCACATTACCCAAAAATACCGTTAGAATATATTTTCTTCTTTTATCTTATGTCTTCTACACTTGCCATGCATAAAAATGTAGCCCATGGTAGACAGCTCAATGTGTTAAATAATTTAACACTCCTACTACTCTAGAAAGCTAAGGGAGAAACTGGAAAGGAGGGAAATAAAATGAACCAAGGGTACATATGTATAGAATATTTTATAGTGTCTAAAGTATTTTCATTTTGGCTTATTTTGAGCTGATATACAAAAAAAAGAGGGGAACTAAAATTCTTTGGTTTTTTTCCTCAGGAATTTATACATTTGGACTGTTTGCAACAGATATCTTTGTAAATGCTGGACAAGTTGTTACAGGAAATCTGGCTCCACATTTTCTTGCCCTGTGTAAGCCCAACTACACGGCACTAGGATGTCAGCAGTACACACAGTTCATCAGTGGAGAAGAGGCTTGCACAGGGAACCCAGATCTCATCATGAGGGCAAGGAAAACATTCCCATCCAAAGAGGCGGCTCTCAGTGTCTACGCAGCCATGTATCTGACAGTAAGTCAGGGTTACACATTCTTCTAAGCTACAAGTCGTTTTCCTTGCCATAATGGAAGTTACTTTTTGTACACTATAGTAATAGCTTTCTACTGGCCACTTAATTTATCTCTAATAATTGCTGTTTGTACTGTGAATGAAATTAAGTCATTTGACTCTCATGAGCTTATGTGTGGGTAGTTGGTTATAATAAAAATATAGCTATTCATATTTCTATTGTGAATATGTTTGTCTTTGTGTTAAATAGGACTTAATGGAAACACATTTGCTCTGTAGCACTCCCCATGAACTGGTAATAGTGCAATTAAGATAAGTGTCTGGGCTCTTGGCTGCCTACTCAAGCTCTAATATTCCCTTGTGGGGGTAAAGAGGGGACACTCTGTTTATAGAAAGCAATTTTATTATTGGTAATTGAATCATCACAGTGTCTCAATCAGTGTTTTAATATTTTCTCAAAGTAACTGAAATATCCTCAGAAATGGTATTTTGCCTTTATTATCAAGCATTTGCTATCATTTTAGTGGTAAGAGCTAGGCCCTGAGTGCAGCTATCTTAGGACCTGTAAGTTGAGAGTAAGTGGTCACAACTGAGTGTATTATTAGTGTAGGAAAGAATTGAAAGAAGAGCAGGTTTGGCGGGCAGCTCTTGACCCCTTACTGCCATCACCAGGATTTACCTTGCAGCTGTGGAATTGGACTCGAAGGTGTTCTCCATAGGCTTTTCCTTAAACTCCAATAAGAACTTGAGCATTTAAATGTCTTTTAGGGTTCTCCTTTCTAATGAACCAATATCTACTTCCTTCCAATTTCAATTTACTAACAAGAGATTTACAAATACTCAGGCCCAGTTTGAAGCCTGATTTGAGTATTTCTAATGACTTGGAAAAATTCAGTATTGTTTTTATCCTCAAAAAGCTACTTGACAATGGAGAAGTTTCTAATGTGATTGTGTCAGTCACACTGAAAGCAGAGAGAGTCTATAGAAATACCCTGTGACATTTCTTCTTGAAAATGGAAATAAAGGTTATTGGATGGAAGGACAATTTAAACTGTTACAATGGTGAGATAATTTTAGAAGCCATAAGATGTGCATTTTAACATTTTTAAAAGTTTTAAGGCAAATTACTTTTATTTCTCACTGCCTGGACTTAAAAAATATCCCACCAAGAAAATTTGCATGGATTAAGTATTCAGTTTTATCCTATCCATTTTCTCGTCCACTGCCTATTGAATTTTGCAGAATTTGTCTCTTACAAGTCCCTTCTTACCCTCTCACTCCACTTGCCAACTCTTTTCCTCTCTTTTTTCCTGATTTCTTCAGCTCATCAGCTTTGCTTTCTTCTACACACTGTTAGGTACTTCTGGGCCTGATATGAAATATGCTAACACATGCATATTTTTCCTGCTCACTAAGTTTCTTGACTACATGTTCCACTTCTGCTGAATGTGAAGCATTCAGCCTTAAAATGAAGATTTAAAATGAGTGAGAAGTCACAAAACACTTTGTATTCATTGCCATTACTTCAAAATCTGATGTGTACCTTTATATCTGTGTACAAGTTGCAAATATATCTGCATATAGATACGTGTTGAAGCACATGATGGAAGACAAATTCCAGAATGCTCCCTGTCCCCAACTAATGTTGCATAAATAGTTTATCACTGATAGATGTTAGATTTTACTGTGTAACCAGCATTCTTCAGAGGTGGTGAATGTGTGACTGTAATGAAATACTTGGCCTTTTTAGTCCACCAAAATAGTGTTTCTGAGTGTTGCTATGGGAGAAGGCATTATCTTCTCAGTTACTGGAAGAATATTAATATCTTATCTTTCCCCAGTTCTACTGCTCACCTGAATGTATTTGTTTTAGCAACTTATGGATTATAGAGCATCCTGTCTAGTCTGTAATAAAGACTTGAGGGTATTAATAATTAATCATAATTATTTTAGGAAATATGTATTGAGCATTTACTATTAACCAGGTATTAATTGATTTTTGTTTTACTAACTTGTTTACTAATTCTTGTAGATTTTTAATTTATCAATTGATTATTTGTGCTATGTTTTTTAATCCTTGTAACATTTCTCTGACACACGTGGTCTTATTACATCCATTTTACAGAAGAGAACACTTAGAAAGTGTAGGAACTTATGTTCTCCTGCACAATCTCAGCATCCAGTAAAGTGTAAAAGCCAGGTTACAGATGGCAGAAGAGTTTAAAGCACAATTATTTAATAAACACACTGACATTGGGAAATCTTCTATCCTTAAAGGTGTTTCAGAATAAAAGTTAGGATCCCTGCTTGTAATGACATTGAGGTACTTCTGTCTGTTTAATAACAGCTACTGTGCTCAGCTCACTGCCTTCCTCTTTACCTCATTACCCTTTTGTATGTGTGTATGAATGTGGGTGGCTGCTATGGTAACTCCGAATATAATTCCTGCTGCAAGTACAGACTTTCAGTCAGGTTTTGCCATTATATTTGAACTTAAATACAAATATACTTCTTCCCTAATTCACCAGAGGGGCCTTGGGAAGACATTATGATAGGAAAGTTTGGTGTTTTAAACTAATGCAGTCTCATGAAATGTTTGCCAGATTTTCCTAAATACGAGAAAACAGTCATATAATCAATATTCTCTGTGAAAAGTCTTATGATTTAGAAATTATTTAATGTGTTATAAACATATGTAAGCTCATAAACAAAAATAAATAAGTCCCATTGTGAAGTATTTGAATAAAAATTGAGGAATATTTGATGCTTCCATATATGGATTAGTAAATAAAATTAAGAAATTTGGGCTGTCTTTAAGCATGCGACTTCAGTTAAGGTGTTGGTAATAATTTGATAATAGAGCTTTATTTTGCTTTACTGAAAACTTTCAGGGAAATAAAAATCCCCGTGTCTATTTTTGAGAATTCTGATGGTTTTTTAGGGGGGAAAAACTCTGAAGGTTATTTAACCTTCAACTACCAAATTTATAATTCACTGTTAAATTACATTAGAATAACACTTAAAGTTAGCTTTTTGGTATTTATTCCCCTATGAAATTAGTAATTATTTTTCCAATTAAAAGCAAATGAATCTCCAAGTTGAGAATGAAAAATCATGCTTAGTAACTTTCCAAGTAACTCCATAAATCATTGAAACAAAAAGGCATAAAATCATCTTTTTGGGACACTTCCAATTCTGACCTTAGTTTCCTTTTGAAATTAAGATTGAAAAAAGACAAAGTTGGCCTCCGTTTCCATTATACATTGCTTCATTACAAATCATTTCAAGACAACAGCAATCTTTTATCCTCTGGATTTAGGGCATTGACTCGCAGTTTTCCTGGTGGTCTGACCTGGGCTTCTCTCCTGGCCTGCATTCACCTGGGATCAATGGCAGGTGAGGTAGATCAAATAGCTGTGCCTCTATCTTCCTGGAGAAGTCTTTCTTTCAGGTCATCTTCCCAAGGGTATCTTAGTGCAGCCTCCCCAGAGAGTTTCTTGAGGGTTAGGTTCTTCAGCTTCCTAGACGTTACTACTACTATATTTTGTCTTTCCAACAAACCCCAAGGTCTGCTTAGGCTGTTGAGGGTCAAGGAAAAGACTCCACCAGTAGATGGGAGGTGCCACCAAGTCAGATTATAAAGAAGTAAATGTATTGGAATAAGAGGAAAATGTGGACATTCAACAAGTTACCAGTGTTTCCCCAGAATATTAGTGGAAAGCTATAATGTCATTTCCCTCTGTTCTCACTGGTGGGCAGTCATCAGCATAATCCTACCCACATAGCTATATTTTATTGCCAAAAAAATAAGGCATATATTGCCACATTGCCAATCAGCTCACAGGATCCTGTGTGCAGCAACCGCTTTTCACAGGCAGCCAAGACAAAGGTGGAATACACACAACCCACTGGTGTTAGTTTGCTCCCTTCACTTTTGTGACTTTTTACCTAATTCTGTAAAAGCATGAACAGCCTTCGTTCTGGGGTACAGAAATTTGAGGAATGCATGACACTTTACCGGTAGCATTTGTTATCCTGAGACCAGTTGGAAATCACATTTGGAGGACAAGGACTGTGGTAGGGGAAAAGATAAGTTCTGTGCTGCCTTCCTGTGTTTGTCTTTACTGGCTAGTGAGACCCACCCACCATGAGACAGCCATGTTGTAATGCTTTCCTGTTCTAAATTTCAAATGGGAAATTTTGAATGAGTGTCTTGTCTACTAGGTAATACACCCAAAATATTTACCGAGCATGCCCGCATAACATGACAGCTGTACTATGACTATGACAACTGGTGCTGCAGCCACTATTTTTATTTGATTGATACTCCTGTTAGCCTTCAGCTAAGGTTATAGTGGAGGTGACAGAAGGTCCAAAGGATGTCTGTGAAGTACTCATTGTAATCCAGAATATTTACTGTGGTGGACCCCCTGTGTCACTCATCTTGATTCTCTGTCCTCACATTCCTTTATGAACTACATTTAAAAATCTTAATATTTAGTGAATTATTTTTTCACCCCAACTTTCAGCCCAGATATTAAACAATGGTCTATAATAGTACAACTATATTATAACACTATAGTGAAATTATGCAAATAAAAACACTGATATGACTGGTGTGGTAAACAAAGACACATGGGTGCTCTCCATCTTTAATTTTACCTAGTTTCCATAAGTGATACTTGTATTTGAATATTCTGGGACTGACATGTGGCTTTATAATAGTATTTGCTTCTTCAGTCTCATTAAAGAAATTCCTGCATTTTCAACAGTGTATCAGAGTCTCGAACAAGTCAGAGATCGCTAGCATTGTCAGAGGATTTCATAGTCCTAGCTAAAAGCAAAGAGCATTGACATTTCAGTTAGTACATGTGCGCTTAATATGTGTAAATATTCTATTAGGCTCTTTGAGATATTGAAAAATACATCAGAGAATTCTATTAATATGTCTGGGGTTTCTTAAGTATGGTATTGGCAAACACCAGTATGGAGACTGCTGGCAG